TAATATTTATTGTTGTGATTGCATAATTATGGCTAAATATATATTTCCTTGAGAATTTTGTAATAATGTTATATCTTTCTCAAAGAAAAGTACGAGTAATGTAAATTGTGACAAATCCATTAACCATTCGAAGGGAAGTAAATCAAGTCTTATTTAAATAATTTATCATTGCTAGAAAAATACAAAGAAAAAAACTGATCGAAACTTTCTATAAAAAAGCAAAAAATTGACGAGAGCAATGAAAATTTTTTTTTTTTTAACTATACAATACTATATGTATTTACTATGTAAATTAATAAAATACTCTTTAAATAATATACTCTTTATTCACAATTAAATGTAAAATATATATATGCTGCAATATGATACAAATTTAGACCAAGATTAAATCAAATTATGTAGTGTCGTTACTAACTATAAGTGTCGTTATTAACTAATATTTAGCAACTTGTAATTAATAAGACATTATTATTATATTATAACATGTATCTTATACAGTTAATTGCAATTAAAAAAATTATATATAAACTGTCTTATATTTTGTATTTTATTCAGATTAATTTATGTGATACTGTACAGATTCAACACAATGTGTTTCACATTGCGTAATGTATGTCTCGCTCGTAATACAAAAATTACAAAATTACCTGGATACAGCCAATCGCCCTCAGGAAATTTCGCACGTATTTCGATCTTTCCGTATTGCAAAACGAAATGTTCTTTTGTAGTAAAACGTGCGGATATAACGGGTGGCAGAATGCTAAAGGATAACGCCTGTCGCGTACATTCGAAAGCAACCAGGCTTGTACATCTACGAAAAAGATAGATTATAAAACAAAAAAAAATGCAATAGAAATTTAATTTACTTATATTTACTCGTTAAGTTGTAATTTTCCGTATGCGGTCGCATTCTCGCCATAATAGTCTTCTAGTATAATTGGCTTTATGAATAATTGACCATTATGAATTTGCACAAGTTGCTCATGAATGATTGGATGATGATATACGCAAAATTCGTAGTCCTAATTTCAACATAATTAACTTTATTGAGTTGATATAAAATATACATATATATCTATATACAGTTATATACACATTGTATGAATATATATAAAAAAATATATATATATATATATATATATACATACATACATACTCATTACCCACCGGATCTAATGGCATCTTTATCTCGTGTTTCCATAATGACGCGTTGAAAGAATTGAAATAGTCTTCAAGTAATAATCGGCCCTCGATTGAAATTTCATATTTTGGAGAACTTGTCTGTGTAGTTTCTTGACTATCAACTTCATTTTCTGTCGTTATTAATTTGAAATATTATATAATATAAAAATAACCCCATTATTTTTATATCAGTAAATCAGAGAAATCGTGTGTTTATGTAAATAATCTTACGGTAATATGTCCATCTTTGGTTATTCTTCCTGTGGTTAATCCCATTTGCTTGCACATAAATCCAGTAATGAAGTACATCTCCATTTTTTATAGTCACGTCCGAATCCTCAAAAGTCCAGCGATCGTCTGTTGCCAAATAGGTATCACCAGCAATTTGACCATATTCATTAGTGCGAATTGCTTTGTTGATGTTGGCGTGGAATCCAAATATTCTTAAACCTGGTGCATCTGTTAATCGCATCATCATTAAATATTAAATTAATTTTTCTTTTTTATTCAAATATTATTATTTATTTAGATACATTTTTATCTAACATCTAAGTTTTTATTTTTTAGGTGATCCTATTTTTTTAGATAATAAAATATACATATAATTTTTATTATAATTAGTTGTAGTATTATTATATTTGTATCGTATTAATTTATGTTATTTGTTTTCTTAGAAATGTAATATCAAAACTTGAAATATTATAAGATAGGATATGTTGAAAGAGTTAAACCTCTTGTGATTTAAATTTTCTCGTAGGTCACATAATCATTAAGGTCACAATCATTAATCTCTCACTGCAATGATAAAAGCAAAGTAAAAATATATTTAACATCAATAAAATGGTATTGCAAAAAGAGTCATTAGTATCGGAATATTTTTTAATATTTTATTTATATCTTAAAGAATTCGAAAATTAATAAATTATTAAGTAATGATTATTATTATATAATATATATATACGTAACAAATTATATACTTATTATATTCCGCTCTTTGCTTTTAACAATGCTAATATCTTATCTTAATAAACATTTTGGAGAATTTTTGAAGTTTTTCTCTCTTCGAATATTATTGTTGTACATATCTATGATTGTAAGAAAATGATAATAATTATATATATGATTATTTTTATTAATATACATACAAATAGAGGATATTATGAAATATTTTGCAAATGAATATATTACTATATTATCTGTGTAAAAACAAATTATACAATTGATGCAAAATATATTAGGTGTTGGAATTAATTCGTAGCGTTTTTTAATGAAAGAATGTTATTTATTTCACATGAGCATTAAAAAATACATTAATGAAAGTACTTCCCATCACTTGTAAAACGCTACGAATTAATTCCAACACCTAATAATTCAAATAATTTCTATAGATTTCATATAAAATTTGAGTAGAACAAATTTAATACGTGTATTTTATAACATTATATAAATAATTAATAATTAATGACGTTAATAACTTTAATATTATGTTCTTAGCATTCTATCCGAGATCATGTTTTTTGATGTTTATATAATTTATTTTATCGAGAGAATTAATATCATTTAAAATAGAAACAATATAAAATTATGAAATATTACGCATTTATGATAGTTGAGAAAAATAGTTGACTTGACACGGTTGTTGTGCGTCGACAGATTTTTTGGAATTATATAGATACTTATATTGACATCCGGGAAAAAATATTTCATATTTACATATTTTATATAATTATATACAAAACATGTCTATATAAAACATTTTTTCGCGGAGTTAAGATGAGCGCTTATGTTATATATGTTTATTATATTCAAACAGTTATCTTTTGATAATTTTATTTTCCAATTTAATTACAAAAATGCGTTTCTAACAAATTTTCTATTATTACTACTTTTAATGTTTTTATATATAATTTAGAATAATTTAGAATGTACGTGATTTTTTATCATATTATATATATCAATACATTCATTAGATCTCATGTGTAAAATACAACGTTTAGTATCAACATTTTACACGTTATCATAAAACATGTTATGCAATAATGATTATGTTGGATAAAATTTAATCAGGCATGTTTTAATCCTTAAAAAATACTTTTTAATACAATTATTTTTTTAAAGAAATTTTTTGGAAACTCTTCTTTCTATTTAATCTTTAAAAGTTTTGCGGTTGTTCACAATCTTTTCTAAGAGGAAAAAGCTATGCATAAACCTACCAGGTATAGAGACTCGAAGACCTTGCGGCTTTAACACTTCGAAAATCGGATTCGGTAGCACGTAGAGAAACACTGGTTTCACAAGTATGCATGTTAGTACGAAAATCAGTTGAACTATCGCATGATGGACTCTGCGAGAGAACATGTTCACGATTATCAATTTTTAATGTTGTATATACGATATTTATCAAGTACGAGGTCGCGTATGATGCTAGAAGAAAAGATTAACACTGCATGCATGGCGCTTTCAATGATCACTACTGTTTCTTCCACTTTCTTTACTCCTTCCTTTATGTTTTTCCTTATTCGTCATGCAGATTACGTCTTGTATAGTTTTGGAATTCCCTCGTTGAATATAGCTATTATCGATGTCGAATCATCCAAAATATCTGTAAAAACAACTATGTAATCTCGGGTCATTGTCCAGACTTTCAGAAGTTGATTAATGATATTCGCAGTTGAAAGAAAGATAATCCAACTAACTGTAACATAATAACACCAATGTTATAATTTCACTCGCAACAACATAAATATAATACGCATGTAATAGCTACATTACATTAATTGTACTGTAAAATTATAACACTGTTATTAAATTACTATTAATTGATGTTTACCATGATATGAAAACAATTGTATTTTATAAATAATTTTTTAAATATAATTATAATATAAATTATATGTAACAATTGTGTAAATGATATAAAAATTGTAATTTTTTCATAACCCTGGTGAAAGTTTTTTTTATAATTTTTATACAAATTAAAACATTTTTTAGAAATACTCAGAAATATTCGGAAAGTTTACATTTTCTCTTAGAATTTTTCATACATGTGAATTCTGAAATATACTGAGATTTTTCATTCCATAATTTTAAAAATATTTTTTAATTTTTTAGATTTTATAATATATCAGAAATTATATTAGGTGTTGGAATTAATTCGTAGCGTTTT